GGAACAGTATTCGTTGGAATTGGACGGAGTGTTGGAGGGCCAAGAACTTATGCAGGAGGTGATGTCTTCAGCCCGAACAAGGAGCTTCACAAAAGCAGCCATCACCCTACAGACCTGGCTAGGGAAGCTGCATAATATGAACAGGTGATCGAGAGATTCCTCGTTCACACCGCAAAGCACACAGCGACTGGCCAAAGACAAACCCCTACGTTTCAGAGCATCATGTGTCACACCTTCCTTTGATCGACAATACAAGTAAAAGCACAGACTTTATGGGGAATAACATGCTGCCAAATAGCCTTGAAAGGGAAGGAATCTGATCTAGGGAAGCGGTCCTTGATGATTTCTGTGTACAGCGATCGAGCAGAAAAGCCATAGCCTGTGGAGGGCTCCCAAACAAGACAAGGTGGACCTGTACAAAGACTGTTAGTGGGTAAGTTATTTAAAAGATTGAGTAACCTCACCCTCTCACTCTCAGCCCCCCCCCCCCTCTAAGCTCATTTTAAAGAGGAATTTCTCAGATCACTCCGCTCCCCAAATGGTTGACAACCTCACTGATCCGGCAGGACGGCGACTCGGCAGCAACAACGATCCGAGGGAACTCATCAGCAAGGGTCTTATTCTTCAGCCAATAATCATACCAAAAGGAAATCTTTGTACCGGAACCATGGCTGATCCGAGAGTGCTTCTAGAAATCTCCTTCAGTTTCATAATTAGAACAGTGGCGTATCTAGGGTTGGGGTCACCCTGAGTCCCGACCCAGCACTCCTGTGGTTCAAAGCTAGTATAGTACATATAAATTTTTTGATATTAGGTGTTCGGACTAGTGCTATTTAAATTTGATCCAATGTTATTTGATAATAATATTTTGTGTAAATGGAAAAATGGTATAGATGAACATATGCAAACCACTACTTTAAATTTAGACTAAAAATTCTAGCCCCGATAATTTTCATTTGAAAATATTAAAATGAACAATGAAACTTAAAAGTCTTACTCGTAAAAGACTAAAAGTATAAAGTTTCACTGAAATAAAAAAAACCTCTAAACTAAACCTCAAACTTCTCTGTCAGAACTCAAAAAATTTCCCCAATCCCAAAAAAAAACGAGGAGACGAACAAACCCAAAACGGATTTCTCGCTAGTTCGTCGGGAGCTGATTTTCTTTTCAATCTTTTGATGAAGAAAATATTTACAAACTTGTTGAGTCATCATTTAAATTGCTTCAGTTGAGTGATGCACTAGATCCTAAAAGTTATTTCTGGTTTTTTGTGAAGAAAATATTTACAAACTTGTTCAAGAGTTTATACTCGAGACTTTGAAGACTATAAGTTATTAGATGCATTCTATAAAGAATGATCTAGGATATTATGCCCGCTCATGTGGGTTTTTTTTTTTTTTTTGACAAAGCCGCTCATGTGGTTCATAGCCAGGAATATGAAGTTCTTTCTCTTGCAAAATTACTAGAGAAGCTAGTGGAAACAGGGATGGATACACAATACAAATTGATTTGTCGGTTGATTCGTCTAGTGTTGACCTAGCTCGTTTCAACGGCTACTACGGAGATAATATGTTCAGCAATGAAACATGGGAAACTTATTTAAACAAAAAATGAGCGATGAATTTCCCGCGGATTGCTCAACTATTTTCTTTGAGATAGAGTATGTTATTGTTATGGATGAATACTCAATATTTTACGAATAGCTAAATTAAAGGACCGTCATGTACAATTCACATTGTAATTAAAACTATAGTTATCATATTTTTTAACGATTTCTAATTTTCTATTTAAGTGCGGCACAGTGTATTAGAACTATCATAATCAGTATAAATCTGTTATACCATCGATCTTACCATTCCACTTGTCAAACCAACGTAACGATATAACCATATAAACCAGTTTGAAAACTTTGCTCAAAACTGGCCAATGCTTGTCCTTCTTCTTGGATGTTTATTGTTGATAATAATGAACTGATGATGATAAACTCATAAACAACTGGATCGGGGAGCGTGGGTGGGGCATGAGTTGACAATAATAATGATGATAAATAATAAAATAAGATGATGATGATGATAGCTGATAACTGATCATAGTGGTTTATTCAATCTTTAATTATTCTGACGATAGATGTCAGTTGGGGGTTATTTAGTAATTTAAAATCACAGTCCAGTACACTGACAACCATCCTCTTCCCGATAAGCGTCGATACACCTTTCGTTATGACCACCGCACTGTGATTTTTCTCTCTCCGATTCTGGTTCCCAACGCCGCAGCTTGTACTGGCCGGCGAGGCGGCGCCTATTTCTCCTCCGTATTTTCTTCATTTTGAGGATTTTAATGGCCCTTCCGGATTGGATTGGAGTATCTGAATAATACACTATCTCCGAAACAAAAGCCGACGACTCCGGTCTTTTTGCTTAGAATTTGGACGTTTCCTCTAGCTTTGGTGCGTTTTGGCCCACGGTGGGATTTCGAACTTGTCGATCGTCACCAGAGGGAGCTGAATCAGCAGAGAACAGGGGTGAGTAATCGGTTCTTTGATTTTGTTCTGTAATTGCAAATTGCAGTACTATGTTGGAGTTTGTCACTGGTTCAATTAGACTGGATATTCAGCACCGAGCTTGATCCTCACTTCGATAGCTCATGGCAATGGCTGCAGATAACGGACGAGGAAGAAGAGTGATAGAAATTGTGATGTTGAAAATGGTCTTCGGCTGCTTCTAGCTAAGTAGGGCGCTGCTGTTGAATTTGGTGCGAAATTCTCGTCTCGATCATAAGTTTGCTCACTCACTGCTCCCGCTACGTCTCTTTGCAAATCCAATCGACGAAGGATTACGGCTGTGTGTCATGGAGCCAGAATCTGGAATCGGCTCTTCTACTTCCCCTTGTCAGGTATTTTCTGGTTTAAGCTTCTCCCATTTGGCTTAAAGTTCGGATTATGAACCGATGAAACTGGATTTTTGTTTTTTAATTGTACCTTATTCATCCGCCTGTGGTTTTTTTTGTATGTTTTGGTAGTTCTCGTTGGTTACTCTTTCCAGGAATTTACTGTTGGCGTACCAGAGCTTTGGGGTTGTGTATGGCGACCTTAGCACATCTCCTCTCTACGTCTACTCCAGTGCCTTCTCGGGCAAGCTCCGAAACCACCATAACCAGGAAGCCGTTTACGGTGCATTTTCCTTGATCTTCTGGACCTTGACCTTTGTTCCCTTGATCAAGTATGTCATCATCGTCATGAGTGCAGACGACAGCGGTGAAGGTAGTCGATCATCAATGTGTCTTCCGCTACCAGCTGCTTCACCTAAACTATCCCTAATCATTTAATCATTTTTATTTTACACATTCAGGTGGCACCTTCGCCCTTTACTCCCTCCTTTGTAGGCATGCCAAGTTGAGCTTGCTTCCCAACCAGCAAGCAGCTGACGAGGAGCTCTCTTCCTACAGATATGGACCCTCCTCTGCTCAGGCTGCTTCCTCCTCTGCCCTTCGCAGATTCTTGGAGAAACACAAAAGGCTCAGGACTGCCCTCTTGCTTGTTGTCTTATTCGGTGCTTGTATGCTCATTGGTGATGGTGTCCTCACCTCAGCAATCTCTGGTAAATTTTCCTTCTTTTCAGCTGAGCCATTATGTGTTTTGATAACCACCTTTTAATTCTGCTTCCTTTGAGTAGGACATAATGTGGATTTGTTGTTTCGGTTGAACTTGTCCTTTTCATGTGATTGCTTCCTATAAAAGGCTATCAGGTTTGGCTCTCATCTTTGTTCCTAGATCAACTCGTTCACTTGCTACATGTGTTGAGAATATACCTTATGCTTTACAGACTAGGTGCAGTTCTTGATCACTAACTTTGCCATTTGATTACTGTTTACGGCCAAGGTACTCAAACTATTCGCTGATGCTGCTAGGATTTCTGATGCTTAGTTTTTGCATTTTATGAACTTTGGCATATGCTCACATTAGGCCATCTCTGTGTCTCTTTAAAAATGGTTGTGTTGCAGCTATGCTCCTTGACTTATGATTGTATTCAGAAGTTAGACCTTTAAACTGAATGTACTGGCCACAAGTTCTATGCAAACTCATAAGTGATAATGGGCAAGGCCCTGATGAAGCTGTACTCATTTTATGATGAATTTAACTTCACCTTGCAGTTTTGTCATCGGTATCTGGGATACAATCTACAGAAAGCAAATTAACGAACGGTAACTCAGCTCTTTGATTGGTTCTACTTATCACATATTTTCTTAGTATTCATGGTCATGACTTGACGTGTTTTGTAATTTTGTAGCTGAGCTTCTTTTGCTTGCTTGCATCATATTGGTGGGGCTGTTTGCACTCCAGCATTGTGGTACTCACAGAGTGGCATTTATGTTTGCCCCCATCGTTATCATCTGGTTGCTATTTATTTTCTCAATTGGGCTGTACAACATCATATATTGGAATCCCAAAATCGTGTATGCACTCTCTCCCCACTACATAGTCAAGTTCTTCAGGGAAACTGGTAAAGATGGTTGGCTATCTCTTGGAGGGATTCTTCTTTCGATAACAGGTGATTCGGATATGAAAATCAGCAAATTTAAGTTGAGTTTTTCTGATTGCTTGATCTGTGATCGATGCAACCAATCTTCACAAGTGCTCTACATAAATCTTTTCCTTTGGGATTTGTAGAACTTATTGAACATTAGCAGCATGCTTTAATTTTGTTCTCACTTATTTGAACTTTTTTGGGGCTCTGGCAGGGCACAGAAGCTATGTTTGCCGATCTTGGTCACTTTACTGCCTTATCAATCAGGGTGAGAGCATCGCGGAATCATGCGTCTTTTTGCTTTAATTTAAATGCTCTTCCTTCAACCTAGGAATGTGAAAGATAATGTTGTTTCTTCTGTGCAGCTTGCTTTTGTCTTCGTTATTTATCCTTGTTTGGTAGTGCAATACATGGGTCAGGCAGCTTTTCTGTCTATGAACTTAGACTCATTTTCCAACAGCTTCTATGCGTCGATACCTGGTATCATTATTTTGCTACTCCTATTTGCTTTTTGGACACATGCTTGCCGAGAGGTTCAATTTTGACTTCCTTTGCATTTGATGCAGAACCCTTCTTTTGGCCTGTCTTTGTTGTGGCCACCCTTGCGGCTATTGTTGGGAGTCAGGCTGTTATCACAGCCACTTTCTCGATTGTTAAACAGTGTCATGCCCTTGGTTGTTTCCCAAGAGTTAAAGTCGTCCACACCTCAAAACACATTTATGGGCAGATCTACATCCCAGAAATAAACTGGATCCTCATGGTCCTCACTCTTGCAGTAACCATTGGATTCCAAGACACAACTTTGATTGGTAATGCTTATGGTAAGTCATCTGCGCCTCCTCTTTCCATTTGTTCCCATCTGCTAATGGAAAGAAAACACCTTCACTTAGCTTAAGGACAAGTAGCTATCTACAAGATACAATGCTGTAACACCCCTCGTATTTTCCCTGATCTTCTATGTGTCCATTGGACAAATCATTATAGTATTCGTACTGGGTCAGTGCATTACTTTGCCTGATATAGGATTTGCTCATATATGATAAAACCAATGGAGTCATTTCTTAGTCTCATATTTGAAAATGTGGGATTATGTTTTCTTGTCTGCTTGCGCTCTTATTTAGCATTGAAAACACTGATGAGTTGTTTTGTTTCTTTCTAGATAATGTCATTGCAGTTTGGTTTTACTTGAACAGACTGTAATCTTTCATTTGATTTGCAGGACTTGCATGCATGACAGTTATGTTCATCACGACTTTTCTCATGGGTCTGGTCATAGTATTCGTTTGGCAGAGAAATTTCTTCTTAGCTACATTCTTCCTCCTGTTCTTCTGGCTGATCGAGGGTATCCTACTTATCCGCTGCCCTAATGAAAGTGCCGCAAGGTGGCTGGCTTCCGCTCGCCCTATCAGTTTATATTCATGCTCATAATGTACATCTGGCATTACGGCACTCGTCGGAAGTACAACTACGATCTCCACAACAAAGTCTCACTAAAATGGGTGCTAGGCTTGGGGCCCCAGCCTTGGCATCGTCCGCGTCCCCGGAATTGGTCTAATATACTCGGAGCTCACCACTGGAGTACCTTCAATCTTCTCACACTTCGTCACCAACCTTCCAGCATTTCACAAAGTACTGGTTTTCGTCTGTGTGAAATCTGTCCCTGTTCCGTATGTCTCCCCCGACGAACGATTCCTCATTGGCCGAGTATGCCCCAGACCTTACCGAATGTACAGGTGCATCGTGAGGTACGGATACAAGGACATACAAAGAGACGATGGGGACTTCGAGAACTTGCTTGTACAGAGTGTGGCCGAGTTCATTCAGATGGAAGCCGTTGAGCCACATTACTCGAGCTCGGAGACTTCTCCCTCGGTCGATGGCAGGGATGGCCGTGATAAGCACGAGGGATATCCGATCAAGCATGACTTTGACAGTGACGGAGCAGGATTTCGTCAGCGTGGTGGATGACGACTCCATTCATAGCGGCAGCAGCAAGTCGAACACCCTCCAGAGCTTGAGGTCTATGTACGAGGATGATACCCCGTCGATCAGGAGGCGGCAGGTGAGGTTTCAATTGCCGCCGAACCCGAGGATGGATCCCGTGGTGAGGGAGGAGCTGATGGATTTGATCAGGGCGAAGGAAGCCGGGGTGGCGTATATAATGGGACACTCGTACGTGAAGGCCCGGAGGAACTCCTCGTTTATAAAGAAGCTGGCGATTGATATTGGCTACTCTTTTCTTAGGAAGAACTGCAGAGGTCCCTTCCGTGGCGCTGAATATTCCTCACATAAGCCTCATCGAAGTTGGCATGATATATTATGTGTGAGAGCTTTGCTCGTGTGGAATACTGCAAATGCAATGGAACACCCTTTTGGGGTTTCCTTTTGATTATTGCTACTGCATCTCGCTGCATATACAGGAACGATCCTTTGATGAATGTGGACGACATGTTACTATGGTAGGTAAACGATCCTTGTTGCTAATGTTTTATTTCGAAATGCCTTCGATGTTATTCGATCTGGGACAGGGATTAATATTGCGCCCAGAAAACGAAAGAACAGGAGAGAAACGATTAAACGAATGAGAGAAAATGAAGTATGATTTCTATCCTTCTTTTCGTGACGAATGGGCTGATGACTTGATAAAGCCCAGTCAAATAATAACTAAAAATGAACAGATAAGCTGGGTTAAAATGCAGAAGGCCCAGACACGAGACACAACGGAGAAGAACACAGTACTTGTTCGTGAAAGTGTCTCAGAAAACCTGAGTTGCTCTTTATTGAATATATGTTTATATACAGCAGTAGATGTAACAGAAGGGCAAATTCTATGCAGAGGATTGCTAAAATAAGGAACAGAATGAAGCAGAATAGGAGAGTGGAGAGATAGAGTTGTTGGTCTGTTCCTGAAGTGGTGGAGATATTTCATCTCTATCACGCCCCCGCAAGTGGAACCTTGGTGAGGTGAAACTTGGAGTAGAATCGTCGAAATGAGAGCCGAGCCAATGGTTTGGTGAGGCCGTTTGTGTGTTGTTCTGGTGTCGGTAAGTAAGGAACTCATAGTTGCTGTTTGGCAATCCCTCGTCATTGGAGGAGTTTGTGACGGCAGGATCGGTCACTGATAAGCGGTTGATGGAGTAGGCTGCATCGGCAACGAGATGGTATTGTCATCGCCAGTCAGACCCAGGGTGCACTTGCAGGCAGTGGGGCCAGCTTAAATGCGGCAAAACTCCCAATAGTAGGAGTGACTAGTGAGGAGAACTGGAGGAGGATTGAATATATTATGGAGAACTCAGTGATATGTCAGATTAGAGGTTTCAAAGGGAAGGAATGAAAGGAAAGAAGAAGCAGATTGTGAGGGTGAAGATGGAGAGCATCTGCCAAGTGATAGAGAGCCAGATTTTGGAGAAGAGAATCAGAATCATCAAGTGAGGTGGAGACATGGAGCTATGTTTGTCGTATGGTAGAGATAAGGAAATAGAATAGTGACAGAAGAGGAACAAAAGCAGGGGTAGGAGAGGATTGTGTGGAAGAATGGAAAAGAAAAGATTTGGAGATTATAAGAGAGGATAAGTAGAGGAAGTGACACGCAGGGAGAATCTAAAATGAGAGAAGAGCAAGGAGTAGAATATAATTAGGAAGAAGACGCAGAAGAAGAAGTTATCACTATCAGATATTTTTGGGTTGGGGAATTTGAAGCTTTTGAAGGGTTTTGGTTTGCTGATCTAATAGCTGGAGGGAAGGAACAAGACAGCTAAGGTCAACAAGAAGAAGACGCAAAAGCAGCTTAGCTTGAGCTGCGCGGAAGCCACCAGCTTTGTCAGCAGTAAAACAAAGCAACAAGGATGGTGTAATGGAGGAAGTCGTCATTTTGCATAATCAAAGCAGAGGAGGAAAAGCAAAAAAAGAACAGAGGTGAAGGTAAGAAGACAGAGACACTGAGAAGAAGAGAAAGGTGATACAAAGCTGAGAATCTGTGGGGGATGAAGGTGATGGCAAAGGATTTGAGGCCACCGTTGAACTCGAGGCCATGAAGAAAGAAAAGGAAACAGAGTACCTCGTTAGAGGATTTGAGGCTCTGATACCATGAAAGTGTCTCATAAAACCTGAGTTGCTCTTTATTGAATATATATTTATATACAGCAGTAGATGTAACAGAAGGGCAAATCCTATGCAGAGGATTGCTAAAACTAAGGAACATAATGAAATAGAATAGGAGAGTGGAGAGATAGAGTTGTTGGTTTGTTCCTGAAGTGGTGGAGATATTTCATCTCTATCAGTTCGTTCTTCCAAATCCAGAATCAGAACTACAGTACTGAAAGAAATCAAAGAGAACAGAGCAAGAAACATAAATGAAAGAACATAGGTGCAATTTAATGTGGTTCATTAAAAAATGGTTACATCCATGTCCCGGCAATAGTCCACACTATTACCGAGAGACACTACTATTCTTATGATTAGAGACTTGAAAATACGACAAAGAAATGTAAGAAATAAGCAAGAACATATGCCCAGAGTTCAACACCAACTATGTTTTCAACAACTCTCACAGAACCTATACCCCTGGAGAAGAGAACCCTTTACACTCAAGAACAAGAGCCCGGGTTAATTGCATGATTGGTCACTAAAATTACAAAAAATGTTCGAGTTTGGTATTTAAATCCATTGGCGGCACTTACTGAAACCTTTCACATTTGGTCACTCTCTGTCTAACTCCGTTAACTTTTGCTTACGTGGCGGACAACTCTAAAAATAATAAAATTAAGAAAATCAAATTTTTTTAAACTACCATCTCATTTTCACCTCATTAGTCATTATCACTTTTATTTAAAAATAAAAAAACCTAATTTCTTCTAATCCCAATACCAATACCCGCCCGTAGCATACCCAGCCATCGCTGTGGCAGCGGAATCAGGACGATTTACTTACACTCGATCGATCTGAATCAGGATAAAGCCAAAGTCGGAGCAAGCGCAACCACAACCTGTCTTCCCTCTGCACAACGGCGCCATACCCAGAATCATGCCTCCACTCACTCAAGCTGTCCATTTCCATCAACATCAACCCCAACAACATCATCACCATCCTCCTCCGCACCCTCGGCTCCGCCATCTCCGATGCCCAGACGCTCACCCCTCTCCTCCTCCGACCAGACATCCTCGAGAAATAGAGAGAAACGATGCAGGTTTGCAGGGACCTCCACCAGGCCACCCTCTCCACCCTCTCGAGATCAGCTTCCAAGCTCCGCGCTGACAGCGACTACAAGAAGCTCGCCGATGCTAGAGTTTACATCACCGCCGCCCTCATCAACAAGAACACGTGCCTCGAAGGCCTCGACTTCCGCTTCCAGACCCTCCAAGCCCCCGTTGGCCGATTCGATCGAGTCCGCTTACCGCCACATCAGTAATTCCCTATCCTTGCTCCCACGAAAGGCTCCTCCTCCTCGTAAGAGTAAGACAGTGCGGGGCGGTGACGGCGACTGTTGGGGTGGTTGCCGCAGCCGTGGCCATCAGGGACGGGGTATGCTATCGGCAGGGTATTGGTATTGAGATTAGAAGAAATTAGGGTTTTTATTTATTATTAATAAAAGTGATAATGAGATGGAAGTTTTAAAAATTTAATTTTATTAAATTTATCATTTTTTAATTGTCACGTCACACATTTAAACGGTCACATTTTAGAGTTGACTGCCTTGTAAGCAAAAGTTAACGGAGTTGGACGGAGAGTGACCAAACGTGAACGGTTTCAGTAAACTGAAGTACCACCAATGGATTTAAAAAAAATTTAGAGTGACCAAACTTGAACGTTTTTTGTAATCTCAGTGACCAACCATGCAATTAACCCGAACAAGCCCTATACCACATCTCTCAAAGATGCAAAAGTTGAAATACAAAATAACTCGAAGGAGCTATATATAATGCTGGAGGTGAAATAGTCGTTGGACAACAAGAGGGTTTTGAGGCCAAAAGCCTTTCTTTCCTTTTAAGAGCATGATTGCAAGTTCTGATTTCGCCCAACAATCTCCCCCTAAATTAGAGATTGCAAGTGACAGGCAACCTGCAAAAGAAGACACAACATTGAGAATACCAAGCCAACACATAATACAACATTCCAAAAATCACTCCAAAAAAAAAATACCAACCATCCACAACAACGGAGACAAAATCCAACAATTAAGACATAACATCCGAGAGTTTCAAGTCAAAAGAGCAGAAAATTCAGTGCAACAACAAAGGAAAAACACTCCCCCCTAAACACAAGCTATCTCAGTGATCATCAGACACAAAATCATCTAAACTGTAATCCACGAGTCCTCCGGAAAGACCTTTAGGTAGGGGTGTTAATGAACCAAGCCGCTCATGAATGGCTCAACGTCCGAGTCGAGAAAAAATCGTTCGAGACTCGATTCTTTTTAATCGAGCCGGCTCGCGAACAAGCTCGTTAACTAAACGATTCGAACTCGAGTCATACCATGTTCAGCTCGAAAGCTCGTGAAACAAGCTCATTTAACGGTTTGGCATTATAAAGGATTGGAATTCATGGATTTTATGTATTAAAATTGGGATAAATATTGTGTTTTATTTTTCTAGATTTTGCTGTAGGTTTGAATATCATTTTGTGCTCAGTTTTAGCTCAATCTTGAGCTATAATGAACATTTTATGAGTTGAACTCGATTTTTGGCTCGTTAGACTTATTTGGCGAGCCGAGCTCATTCTTGATAGCAAGAAAATATACCCAAGAGTATCTTGACTAGTCATCAACTAAAACAAAAACATAATTTTTTTCTTCCAACACTAGTGACAGTGCATAGACCAAACAAATCCATGTGAACTACTTCAAATGGTTTGCTGGTAGCAATGTCAGGTTTGGCTTTGAGGGGTTTTCTAGAATTTTTACCAACAACACAAGCATTGGAGAAAAAATCACCTTGTTCTTTTAAATCAGGAATACCACGAACAAGTCTAGATTTGGATAGAGATGCAAGTCATTTTAAGCTGACATGTCCTATTTTTTTTTTCTGCCAAACAGTTTCTTGGTGATGAGTTTGAGAGATAATACATTTTTTGTTAAAGGCATCCAAATCATGAAGATCAATGACATAAATATTCCCTACACGATTTACTATGAACATCATTTGTTATCCTTGATTTATTCTACTAAGCAATGAGAGGTGTCAAAAGTGACATTGTTTCCGCTACTACAAAGTTGACTAAGGGAGAGCAGATTATGTTTGAGACCATCTACAAGCATAACATCTCTAATAGTTGGCATGGGAGACAAGCCAATAGTGATGAGCCCAAACTCGGGTCTCAAGGGATCAAAGTCGCACAGCGAGCTAGTTAGGTCAAGAAGATGCTCTCGTATTAAACACAGAACTCGATCCTAACTTGGTCAAGCTCTCTCAAACTCAATTTCGGATGGAAACGAACGGGAACCCTTACACATGGAAGGATGCACACTCATTATGAGGAAGCTTTCGATGCAATCGAGGGCGATTCTCGATTGATAAGCAAGGTTCAGCAAGTTTTTGATCGCAACCAAAAACCAATCAAACTCACAAACTCTCAAGCTTGGGAATTGGGGTAAAATTCATTCAATCTTATTCTGCCTATTACAATGCGAACTAAAGGGTTTTTATAGCCCAAGAAGACCTATTGCACTTCTAAGCTAACAAGGAAACTGATTAGAATAGGAAAAGGCTAAAGAATTCGTGTACAACAATGTAACTTGCT